TTTTAGATCCGAGAGTATGGATCAAATCATGAGGTTAGTTTTAGATCCGGGAATATGGATTAGGTAAGGAGGTAAATTTTAGATCCGGGAGTACGGATTATGTATTTTTGAATTTCGTGTTCATACGATAAGGTATCATGCGTATAGTCCCTTTTAGGAACGTGATTTATATACGTGTATTGATTAAAGTATGAAATGTACATATGTGTGTAAAGTATATGTTATTATCCGAAATACGGGTTAGATATATTTGATGATATACAACGTACGAATCATTTATGGTTCAATATGTGTTAAGATGTGAATATATGATATTATTACTTAAAACCTTATGTTAAGTATACACTAGTTAGTGTTTCCTAAACGGAGATAGTATCAAAAATTGATTATAAACATTGTAGCTTTGCATAGTGATGGGTTAAGACTTAAATAGGGATGTTTAGTTCAATTAAGTTTGGACATTGGGTAGCCTCTTATTAAGAGTACGTGTATTGTGAGATTGATGATCGGTGGAGTACGTCCTACGTACAGAAGTACATTTTATGTACGAAGTCTTTTTCAAAGCTCTGTGTCTTAGGTGCTACTAGGCAATGTTCGAGTCTGGGATATGTAGAGTCTGGGGGTATAATACCTCATGATAGTCGGACCACACCTAGGCATTGTTATCTAAATAACTACCCCTGAATTAACTATCTTGTGGTTCTTTCTTTTACGAACGAAGGTTCATGGTGAAACTTATTTCATTCCCTTCATTTGATGTCTTTATTGATCCTCGTTTGCTGCCAGGGAATTTCCGAAGCAGCTTCGTCAGTTTGTGGTTCATGTCGATTCCTTAGGCTAGATCTTGTAAGATCATTGTATAGGGTCACTATGTGGGGATCGATGGGATGGGATATATTGTTTTAGAAATATAATTTATATGTGTTTATAACATTAGTGGTTTCGTAGGATCGAGATATACTTTATTATCACGTTGTTTGAACTAAGAGCTTTCATTCTCTGTGTTCCTTAGGTGATTGGGTTCACCAGGGATATTCGAACTAAGTGTTCGTTAGATATTTGAACTTAGTGTTCATCAGGGATAATTGAACCAAGTGTTCATTAAGTGTTTGTGAACTAGGTGTTCATTGGTTAATATTGGAACTAAGTGTTCATTAGGTGTTCTTGAACTAGGTGTTCATTAATTATTGTGAATTGCGTGTTCAGCAGAGGTAATCTAAGAACCTTGGCAACACTAGACATTGTGCCAGTTCCTTAGGGCAATCCTTAGGAATGAATGGGGGAAGGGTAATTGGTTCTTAGGATAAATCTTTAAGAAATAAATAGAGATAATGGGGGTGGGTATTTGAATTGATTGTTTGATAATTAAATATAATAATTATATTATTGTGGGTTGAAAACCCTATATGCTCACCAGGCTCCCAAGCATGACCCACTCAGTTTTCTTTGCATTACAGGTAATGACACAAGAGTATAAGTTGGTGGACTTGACGAGAGATTTTGGATTATAGGCCAGTAGTTATGAATACTTGTTCTAAGGTCTATTATGGTCTGTATTGAACATGACATCCTGAGATTTTGTTATATAATGAAAATACATTTCTCTAAAGAAATGCTTTGATAATTTTTATCATACTTTGTTTTGGGAAAAAATTCCGCAACTGTTTTCTTTAAAAGATTACTCTGATTTTAAAAACAAAGCATAAACAAATCGGTCTTTTTCTAGCCATGAAATTGGGGATGTCACACTCTGCCCGTCTGTCTGTGGGTGGTAAGTTGTACTGAAGTGAAACCGGGTACCCAACTCCTCATGAAACTTCTTCCAGAACCTGGAAGTATAACACACATCTCAATCTAACACTATCAATGTTGGCACCCCATGTCGTGCCACCACCTCTTGAACGT